GGCCTGGTGGTTGGCCTGTGCGTGACCCCGCTGGGCCTGCGCCGGCCGTGCGACCCGCGCAACTCGCTGCTGTTCACGCGGCCGCTGCGCGCCATCGGCTGGCTGCTCGGCGTCGAGTGGCAGGTGCGCGGCGCCGAGCGGCTCTGCGCCGACACCGCCTGCGTGGTGGTGGCCAACCACCGCGACGCGCTCGACGTGCTCGGCATGGTGGAGCTGTGGCCGCACTTTGGCCGGCTCGTCACCGTCATGAAGCGCGAAATCTGGCTGGGCTTTCCGTTCGCGCTCGGCGCCTGGCTCTGCGGACAGATCTTCATCGACCGCTCGAACCCTGCTCGCGCGCGGCAGTCGCTCCTGCACGCCCAGCAGCGGATGTGTGACGAGCGTCTGGCGGTGTGGTTCTTCCCGGAGGGCACCCGTAACCGCGGCGCCGGCCTGCTGCCCTTCAAGAAGGGCGCCTTCCACATGGCCGTGTCGGCGCAGGTGCCCGTGGTGCCGATCGTGTTCGGGCCGTACCAGCACTTCCTGGAGCCGCGCGAGTGGCGCTTCGAGCCGGGCCGGGCCGTGGTGCAGGCGCTGGAGCCGGTGCCGACGGCCGGCCTGACCGCCGAGGACGTGCCGCGTCTCCTGGACCAGGTGCAGCGCAGCATGGCCGAGGTGTACGGACACCTCTCCGACGAGCTGCTCAGTAAAAAGGCAGCGTAGCTCGGCCACTGCCTCTGCCCGCTTCCCGCCCAGCAGTAGGTAGCCGGTGTAGCGCCGTATTTATTTGGTGTATGTTTCTGCACAGTGTTCTGAAGCACTTCACTAATCGTTCACTGGATCAATTCACGCCCATCACTCTTTTAAAAGAACGTAGATGTGATTCACCCCACTCGTCGGTAGGATAAAGACAACCACTAATTGTTTCCGTGTTAACCATAGGAACCTCCGTGATACAAAACATGTGCTTGTTGAGCCAGAAACAAGTAGCCAAAAGCGAGACTCGTGCTGCTATTTGCGGTTTAGACCGATCGTTGTACTCAACATATCTTCTGTTCAGGGCATTGCCGCATGCGATCAGGCTACAATGTGCGGGTTTAGTATGTATGTTTAGGTAGTCCTATTGGTTAGCTAATTGGCGAAGTTTTCATGCATGGACCAGTGTCACGTGCCGCGCTGTCGGCTGAGGCTTGTATAGTCGTTGGTAGAACAGGCTGGGTATGTCGTCGGTTTTGTCATCAGGTAATGCTAGCTGTGACAGCGTCGTGGGTATGGCTTCAGGGGAATGGAGCGGTGACTATAGTTAGGTAGTCCTACATGTGAATTATCTTTATAGTGAAAGAGTGAACTGATATTATTCTGAACGTACGTCCATCACAAACGTACGGAATCTCTGTATTTTTCTGCATTTTCTTGCCTGTGTTCCCTATATGGCTGCTTTAGTTTGTATTGCCAAATTACAAATATACAGTCAACGCGACCATTTGCAACTGCCATCTTCAATGATGGGTGTTGGCCGCTGTGCGTCTGACTGAACGCATCGAGCGGACCGAACCGTGCGCTGGAGGGTTTGCTCGGTAGCTAGCAGTGCATTATCGATCGAGATGATAACGCGGCTCGAGTATGACGGTTGGCAGTGACAAGTGCGCTACTGGGAAAGATCGGGGACATAGTTCAGAGAGACAAGGTCCACAAGGCACGGTGACGCCCGGAAGTGTGTCTTGTGAAGTGTGTCTTCACGCAGATAAACACCATGTGTGCCCTATGCTTTATGGTCAGATAGAGCACAGAACATGACAGAACATAAGGCACACATGGGGTTTATCTGCGTGAATAATAGATAGATGTGAGCCGAATAAGTCGTATCGATTTTACCATTGTATGCTGTCGACGATTAATGCATTCGCAGTCCACATATGGCCCCTGCAATAGTTAAAATGGTTTTGTTGCGAACGCTTCTCAGTTTTGTATGACCTGTATACGCTGTTATATTTTTCCAAAATTGCATGAGCTAATACCCTTGCGACTTGCGAGCGCATTCGACTGTGTGTGCTAGGTATTGATCATTATCCTTAGTGATAATATTGACTGATACCTGCCCAACTGAATCCCTCGGAAGGGTTTCCTATGGACTTTCGCCTATCTTTGGACGTACGACCTACGCCTCACCTATCGATTTTCAACATAACATGCCTCGACCGACCCCTTGGATGAGCGGTACGACGGCACTGCCCGCCGTTTGGCTTTGGCCCCTCCCCCTCCCCCGGGCCGACTCTGGTAAACGCGGCCATCGCGTCCCTCCGATAGTCTGACTATCGGCTGGTCGAATATCGACAGCAGTATTGAGTGATGAGCATGTCTCATCGTCCAAGATTCTTATGTCTCATCATTCATCCCGCATCCCATGCCCGAGTCTGATACCTCCTATTATTGTGGCGTGAGAACTGATCTAAACCACCTCATACACATGGATTCGTGCTTTCAATTTCATTCACTCTTGCGAGTTTTTTTTCTTTCTTTACATTTGCATTGTTGGCTGTTGTATGTTGTCTGTGTGGCGTCGTATATGACGTCTCGACCATCGTAGTTTTTCATCAAAGGCTCCCGATCAAAAAAGCAAAGGACAATGATAGACTTAGGAAAACCTGCCGAATCGAATGATATGCGATATTTATGACCTCCTTTGGTTACCGTCTGAGTGGTTTTGAGTTTTGACCCGATCTTGACTTGTGGTCAACATCTAGTTGACTTCAATCAACCAAAAAGTACATCAGCCCATGTGTCTGCGCATGACGAGCACGATTGTGCAAAATCTCGACTCAGCGACCATTTTTGGCATAATTATCCAAAACCAAACCCTTTCCTTGCAGCACTTGACCTGACCTCAGAGGTCACTTCCTTATCTGAGGCGTTCAAATCGTGTCCTAGTCTCTGCGTCTCGTAAGGGTGCACAGTGCACACGCTCTTTTTAGTCTGCGAGACTAGCTAAATTAGGTGCGAAAGGGCGGCCGATTAGGAGTGTTGCCCTCTGGCCGAGGGGGTGGGCGGCCGGCGAATATTCCGAATAACACTCCTCGTCGCCGTTTCGCACCTAACTGAGCTAGTCTGCGGAAAAAAACGAGCGTGTGCACGGCCTCCCTCGGGCTTGGCGTTTGTGGAAAACCGATAGGTCCGACGAGGGGTAACAGCGTCATGCAAGGCCCGCACTGAAAAATCTAATTCCAGTCGTCGGTCATCGGACTTGTAAGGAGTATATGAACGTCAGGGTATCGTGCCATCTTCTTCCCCCCCCGCTCCCCTTCCTTCTTGGCCGTCGTACGCATTATGAGAAGAGGCATAGTAGGACCAAGGCTCAGTGGCATGTTTCTGCTGGATACCTACGATACGATGATGCGAGTCATAGGCGTGTCATAAACTGTACCTATCGACCTCGACTACGCAGCTACAGGAAGTCGTTTATTTATCATCCACATGGGTGCGGTACGCTTGTGACTTCATCTATTTATACATAGTGTCGCGAGACTAAGTTCAAGAACGTACTCGCTTCCGTGGCCCGTGGGCATGCGCTGGTTAGACTTTGACCTCGTCTCGCTCTTTTAGGCTTAGGATGTTTATAATATGTGGGGAGCCGGGGGTCGAATGGCTCCTCTTTGGTTTTTCGTGAAAGTTTTCTCGCGTACAAAGCGGCGGATCGTGAAGAAATGTACATTGTACAGTAGGTACCTACCCTCCTGTTAATCATTTGTGCACTCATCCTGAACATTTCATGACTAACTCAAATGACATTCCTCGAATCGATGTCAGCCGTTCATGACTGCTTAGCGCATGCTAGGGTACACATAGGTACTTATGACACTACTCATAACACGCTGTAACTTATAGCATCGATTTCATATACCGAACACTTAACTTCACATCAACATAGGTAAGGAAAAAGACGTAGGTACATACATCCAGTGGCGGATCCAGGAAAACTCCAAGGGGGGGGGGGGGGCATGAATCGAAGTGGTGCCCCTACCTATACCCAAAATTAAAAACTCAACGGATTTCGGCCACTTCATTTTGATGCTGCCCGATTTTCAGTTAAAAAATTGTGTGTGTTGCCCCTGGTGGGCCTGTGGTGCCCGTGCTAGGCCGCAAGTGCCCCTGACAGGTTTGTGGTGCCTCTGGAAGGACTGTGGTGCCCCTGACAAGTCTAAAGTGCCAACGACAGGCCCGCGATGCCCGGTGGCCTGCCAGGGGCCCATGGTGCCCCTGCGAGGCCGGTGATGCCCCTTCTAGGCCGGTAGCGCCCCTGGCAGGCCTGTGATACCCCTGCTAGACCGCCGGTGTCCCTGGGCCCTGACAGGACTGTGGTGCCATTGACAAGCCTGAAGTGTCCCCGACAGGCACGTGGTGCCCCTGACGGGCCCAAGGTGCCCCTGCGAGGCCAGTGGTGCCCCTGACAGGCCTGTGGTGCCCCTGCTAGACCTTTGGTGCCCCTGGCAGGCCTGTGGTGCTCCTGCAAGGACTGTGGTGCCCCTGGGCCCTGACAAGCCTGAGGTGCCCCTGACGGGCCCATGGTGCCCTCGCTAGGCCTGTGGTGCCCCTGACAGGCCTGTGGTGCCCCTGGCGGGCCTGTGGTGCCCTTGGTGGACCTGTGGTGCCCCTGCCGTGATAGTGCCCCCCGGGAGGCCCAAGGGGGGCATGGCCCCCATGGCCCCCCCTGGATCCGCCACTGCGTACATCTGACATCAACATTTGAAAGGTGGTTTGTTATTTGATTGTTATGTGCGGCCGACTTTCGGAGCCATCAACCGCGTTTGTTCTCGTTGCTGTACGACAATTATTATTATTTTTCACTTTAAAATTATTTGCTTCCGCTTAATATCAGCTACCTATGCACACCTATCTGATCCCAAGTCCCTAAAAAGAGCGATATTTTCCACATGCCCTTCATGGTCGTGTACATTAAATGGATAACATTACATTTTAGTAGTCTCTTCTTTTTCTAGATTGATGCATTTCTTTAGCGCAGCTGCGGCGTTCAGAAATATCCGCAACAACGTAACGTAATGACACGTGTCATGGTATATACTGCCTTGCGTGTCATAAGGAAATAGGCTGGATTTGTGGTTACCGGCATTCATTTTCTGAGCGGCTACTTGATAGTTCGCTCTGCATACTTACTTTTCCCTTGCCAGCTTTTGGTGGGGATTTGATACATTCTTCGTCAGAGAGCAGAGCACCTATCGGAGTTGTGCCCTGCCACTGCAGCAAAGAGGTGAGAACCGAGTCTCAGTCTTGTCCCACTCAAAGCGCTGGTTGCTTTGGGCAGCTTAAGTTGGTATTGGGCTGCCTTTTTTATAAAGTAAGGAATTAGGGTGAAGAGATCCTTTTGCAAGTTAAATGGAAACCAGCCTTTTGCTCAGAAATAATGAATGCATGGAAAATTTGGAAAATGTGCTAGCCATAAGTTCCGAAAATGTGATGGGTACAGTCCACAGTAGAAATAATGTGCGGTTTCAGTCATTGATATGTTCTGCTTCTAAAGCTTAGGAACAATTAGCCAGGCTACAATGAAACTTTGAATGTAGTTTACATGTATATATTGTCACCCTTGCAGCTGCAACTTTATCTATTGACGTCTTCTTTTCTATCGCTCCGCATTAAAAAAATTGCCAGTTTAAGTCATCCATCAATATTTGTAAAACCCCACATTACTTAAGCGGTGGGCTGTGCGTATATGCTTCAAAGTGCTGCAGGAAGAAGTGCTATCTCATACTGCTGCTTCCAGCCCTCACAAAAACAATAAGTACTAAGTAGGTATTATTACACATGGAATTTCCCTTTTAACCTGATGTAACCAATACTTACTTAACATAAGTTTTAGTGGAGAATTCCAGTTCTCATGCTTGGACTTGGACTGCACATCCCAAAACCTTGTGAAAAAAATAGAAGACAAAAAGTTGTAGCAATTTTCTTGCTGAAAAACATGCATCCCAGGATTCCCAGTGTTGGTTTTGTCTTATGGCATGCACTTCACCCAAAATTTTTATTCTGATTGATCTTCACTTTTAAAGACAACCTTTCAGTTGCATAAGGGGAGATTTAGCCTCCTCCAACTTGTCTGATATATATTTTTTTCTGTTTTCAAGGGTTGATTTTATTTTCAATGAAGTTTTAAGTAGGCCCCTAACCTTTTTCCTCTAATGTCCTATTGCATCCCAAAGTTGTGTTTTGTGCTATTCTGTGAAATGCATGTCAGTTGGGGGAGGTTTGGTCAATGGTTGTCATTTTTAGCACATGCCATTTTTGGCAACCATGTGCTAAAAATGACAACGCTATCAGCTATTTTTAGCAACGATGAAGCCGATTTCACTCCTCAGCGAGGAAATCACGATTTTGGAAATACAAGCACTGATTTTGGAAAAGAAGTGCTGCCACCTGGTGCAAGAAGAAGAAACCAGCTTTAATATGGCCGTTGTTTGTATGGTAGTCCAACGTTGAAGTATACCCTTTTTTGTGGCCCGAAGTTGGAACTTTAAATTGAAGCATCCGAAAATGATCGATATTGATCGAAATCATGATGTTGATGAAAAAAATAATATGTTAAGTTGAGAGAGGAGGCCATTTTATCCAGATGCGGTGGTTTACTTCTTGAAATTATTTTTGCTTACGACGACTGCCATGTAATGAGGGATAATTAGCAGCCGTCATTAGCAAAAATAATTTCAAGAAGTAAACTACTGCATCTGGATAAAATGGCCTCCTCTCTCAGCTTAAAATATTATTTTTTCATCAACATCATGTTTTCGATCAATATCGATCATTTTCGGATGCTTCAATTTTAAGTTCCAACTTCAGGCCACAAAACAAACTACCATACAAATAACAGGCATATTAAAGCTGGATTCTTCGTCTTGCACCAGGTGGCAGCACTTCTTTTCCAAAATCAGTGTTTATCTTTCCAAAATCTTCATTTCCTCGCTGAGGAGTGAAATCGGCTTCATCGTTGTCAAAAATAGCAGAATCGTTGTCATTTTTAGCACGTGTGACAAAAATAGCACGTGCTAAAAATGACAACGATTGACCAAACCTCCCCCGACTGATGTTAACTTCATATGCATCCCTCAAACCACTAATCTTCCATTTTTCTAATAGCTTGCACTTTGCAGGATTCTCCAACCATATCCTCTTAAGCCTTTAGTTAGACAGAAAAAAGCAGAAAATCCTTTTTCTTACCTACTAGTTTTGTGACTTTTGTTAAAATATTACTGAAAGGTCAAGATATATCAAGATTATCTGCTAGAGGTATCTAGCATTTCCATTCAAACAGCCTTTTGTGCCAAAGTGACTGAAATTCAACACATCAAGTGTAAATGTGTGCACAAATGGATGCATGTACTTGTAGTTTTTTCACATACAGTACATACCTTTGTGAGTCAATTTGACCTGACATAACCCAAACAAATGGTTCTGACTCTGAGTATCATAATAACATGGAGTTACTATACATGACTAACTTAAAGGTAATGACATCAGTTTAATAAACCTTATGAAATAATTTCTGACACAATATTCTTAAAATATTCACATTTTTCACCACATTCTCTTGTATATGTCATATAGTCATAGGCTGGTTTTCCCAAGACAGCAACCAATTATGGACACAAGCATTAGGTAAATTTTGTGCTTCCTACCATCAGTTACAGAGCTGTTACCTGAACATTATAAGCCATCTCCAATTCTCCCTTACCCTGAAGTGAGTGATTATTGTGGGCTTTTCTTCTGCATTGTTGTGGGCACCTCTGCTTCAGTGATATCATCTTATATTGTGACTTTCTTGCATATCAGTTTTTTCGAGGAAAGGCTCTTAATTCACAATTTCTGATTGTGAGATATGGCAAGCTGCAGCTATGGCTGAATATCTAGGTTATGTTCTCTGGCATCCTTTACAGAAGTGGTTAAATAACTCATCATCCATTAGTATCCACAGGCCATTATACAGCCACTCTAGCATGGTTTGGAGTGGACACTGCCGCTGACTGTGATCCTGCTCGCTGTCCCGACAGACGCTCGCTCTCCGCTCGGACCATGGGCGGCCTTCCGCGGTGTTTGTTGGCAGCCGGCTGCCTGCTGGCCACTGTTGCCCTCAGCAGTGGCATCGCTGTCATGTCGATTGATTTCGGCTCAGAGTGGATCAAGGTCGGAGTAGTTTCGGTAAGTGAGGTGGCTGTTGACACTCAACATCAATCTAAGAACAACTGCAGTCTGCAGTTATACATAGTTGTGCACAGTGTGCCATGAACTGCTCAGCTACCTTGCCCACACTTGTGAGGACATTTTATCACTACATGCATGCTATGACATGTCTTTCCCAACGAAACGTTTTCCTTTTGACTTAGGAATAGTCAATTAAGTCATGCTACCATAATCAGGAAGTTTTAGATAACGTTAAATAATCTTAAGGCACATTCTTAGTAGGTTTAATTGTTGTTGCTCGTAGAGGGGTGCCACCGGCTAAAGTGCAGCATACCACGGTGGTGGGTGGGACCGGCCTGATCCCTCACTCTCCTTCCCACAGCCCGGCGTGCCGCTGGATATCGCCCTGAACCGCGAGTCGAAGCGGAAGACGCCGGCGGCCATGGCGCTGCGCGACGGTGAGCGGATCTTTGGCGAGGACGCGCTGACGACGGGCGTGCGATTCCCGGCGCTCAGTTACCAGTACCTGCTGCGTCTGGCCGGCAAACAGTTCGACAACCCGGCTGTGGCTCAGTTCGCCGCTCACTTCCCGTACTACACGCTGGAGAAGGACCCGGCCCGCGGCACCGTCCTCTTCAGACACGACGCGTGAGTTATATCGGGTAGAACCATTGATGATATCGCCGGATTTGATGCTAATGGGTTTGAGTGCTTTAGGTTAATATGCCAGCAATGAATTTTATCGCGCCCTATAGTTGGGGCCACCTTCATCGCATCTGAGAGCCAATGGGCCCTCGTCTACCACATGCTTTGTCAGTACGAATATGATGATGTATGCACAGGCACACGTCTTGGTATTGCGTACTCATTCTCGTTCGCTGTTCACACAGTGAGACGACATTCTCGGTGGAGGAGCTGCTGTCTATGATCGTGACGCAGGCGCGCGTCACCGCCTCGGAGCACACTGGCCAGACGGTAACGGACGCCGTGATCACCGTGCCGGCCTTCTTCAGCCAGCCGGAGCGGCGCGCGGTGCTGACGGCTGCAGCACTGGCGGGGGTGAAGGTGCTGCAGCTAATCAACGACAACGCTGCCGGTCAGTGAGGGGGAAGAGAGGGGGGAGGGGGGCTGACAGCGACTGGGGTAGACAGTGGCTGGGCACTTGGGAGTAATTGGTGTTTAGGGAGTCGTCTATAGGGTGCGACGCATTGTGCAGAGATTCGTGCATTGCACTATCTTGAGCAGCTGTAGATATGCGTGTGTTTTCCCGTTAAATTTAATCAATAGAGCGGGGACTAAATACTTGCAGCTGTAGCCAGTTGACCTTTCCACTCGAGCTTAATTCATTTGCTTGTGTATTTTCTGGGAGACATATTACTGACCGATTTTGCTGCCAAGTACCGGGCAGCTGATGTTTTCACCTGACCGCCCATGCGGCAGTCGATGAGGACACATTGTACTTTTTTGTAAGGGACGAGCTCTGTTGTGTCAACTCATCAGAGTGACTCCTGACCTAACATCTACAGTGGCGCTCAACTACGGTATGTTCCGTCGGAGCGACTTCAACGCCACCACCCAGTACATCATGTTCTACGACATCGGCGCCGACAGCACGGCGGCCAGCCTGGTCGGCTACCAGCTGGTGAAGACCAAGGAGCGCGGCTTCACCGAGACCAACCCGCAGCTCCAGGTCCTCGGATACGCGTGAGTGGCGCAGACATGAGCGGCAGGGCCTGGAATCGGTGTAATGGACTAGCACTGATCACAAAAAGAAAAAAACTGATTACCATTTCGCTGCTTTACACCCATTTATGATTTACAGCTGACTGATAATGTGACCGAAAGACCTGCGTCATGATTGGCGTGGTAAATTATATAATTTATGCCACCGATCAGCATCCATTACTGAATTTCATCTATCTTTGTTATACGTTGACCATTCGTGGTCATTGGCCTATAAAGCCCAGCCTAGCAGCTACTGTCCTCTAACATTGCCCCTTCCCTCTGACCCTCCGTTTTGCAGCTACGACCGGACACTGGGCGGCCTCGAGATGACGATGCGCCTGCGGGACCACCTGGCCAAGGTTTTCACCAAGAACAAACGCACCAAGGAGGACATCTACTCCAGCCCGCGCGCCTTGGCCAAGCTGCTCAAAGAGGCCGAGCGCGTCAAGAAGATCCTGAGCGCCAACGCCGAGACGGTGGCCCAGGTGGAGGGTCTGCTGGATGAAGAGGATTTCAGGCACACTGTGACGCGCGCGGAGTTCGAGGATATGTGTGGCGACCTGTTCGGACGCGTGGTGGAGCCGCTGGATGCTGCCGCGCAGTCGGCCGGCGTGCCGCTTGACGCTATCGATCAGGTGAGGCCGGACGCTCTGGGTGCAGGGGGTCTGACGCGATATGCAACTAGTTGAGTGTGTGGCGAGGTGATGGTAGGGCTGATATGGGTAATAATTGACTGCCGGGCCGCATGTGATCATGGCGGGAGCTGGAAAATGAGGAGAGGGCTAAGATAAGTACTGGTGGGAGCTGTGGGGAGCAGAGGAGGGCTGAGGTAGACACTGAATGCCCTCCCTGTCTATAGTTGATCCTAGGTGGGAGCCGGGTGGTTAGAGGAGGGCTGATACAGACACTGACTGACCTCCCCATCTCCAGCTGATCCTGGTCGGAGCCGGTACTCGGGTACCCCGGATCCAGGAGATGCTGCAGAAGCGCTGGGGCCGCGAGCTCGGCAAGTCGGTGAACACAGACGAGGCGGCGGCGCTGGGCGCCGTGTACCGCGCCGCCGACCTAAGCACCGGCTTCAAGGTGATGAAGTTCCACATCAAGGACTACGTCAAGCAGCCGATCGGCGTGAGTACGGGGCATGACGCCCCTCTCCACAACCCCCCCCCCACACTCACCTTAACCACAATCAAACTTCATCAATGTTGGCAGCTGTGGTGAATTCGGTATCCCTCCTCGATCAGCCCTAGCGACTTATCCTAAGTCTGCTGCCATTGCATCATATTGTTTGAGTGTAAATGGTGCAATCTGTGCAGCGTCTGGTACTGAGCATAGTCATTAAACAGATGCGCTCTATGGATTTGTTGTGTTGTTGTCTCCGACGCCAACAGTCCTCAGACTTGCACTCTCATTTATTGCGTCCGCTCCCGGTCACCGACTCCAACACAATGACCGCCTCTCGGCGGCGACCCAGCACCGCGCCGGCCGCGCAGGGCCACGCCCCTGACATTCGGGGCCGCGCCATAAACCACGGGCGTCGCGGTTCCTACGCCCGCGGTCGGGCCCGCGCCACAAGGGCCGAGGAGCCACCGCCTACGCCGCTATAACTTAACTACGCCACACTCCTCCCCCCTAAAGAAATTGCCCCTACAGGATGGTCCTCCTGAGTAACATTAACGGTACACTTTCAAAACAACACAAAACGAGGCAACCACACATCATGTCAACATGAACACTCTCGCTGCGCTGCTGCTGCCGCTGCTATTGCTGGTGCCGCTACTGCCGCTGATGCCGCTCGTGGAGTGATGCCCCGTCTTCTTAACCACTTCCAAGGTATCCCGTGGGAGCAGGTCACTGATCTTCCGGCAGCCCTCTGGGATCAGATGGACCCCATCTGGGAGGTATACCATGGGATGCTGCCTCCGCCGCCTGTGAGTTAGCCTGTGGCCGGGCTTGCCCTCCTTTAAACAGATTCGCAGAATTGAACAGCTAGCGCCTGGAATCGCTCTGGTGGTCTTACTACCCTGCCCGACCGGGTTTTGTAATAGCTGTTGCCCTCTACCTGCTCTGTCCGCGCAGCTCCACTTTCCTGTGCCCTTGGCTGAAGGAGTTCCCTTTCTTCCACCTCTGCCTCCAGGCTGTCATCATCCCGAGACTCGTAAAATGACAGCCGACTGCTCCGACACCACGGTGTCCCCCGCTTGGCATGTTCATTCCGTTTACTATTTGCAGATGCTGACCCATCAGCCATCCCCTGAGGTGGTCGAGCGTCCTTCGTCCCAGCTCCTGTTATCTGGCGACCTCGCCTGCGGAAAATCCTGCTCGAGAAGGCTGGTTTCAACCGGTTGTGGTGCACATTCGTCATTCTTCCTCCTGGCCCTTGCACCTTGTGCACCACACTCTGCTCTCCATACGATTTAACGATGGTGGCCGGCCCCTTGTATGGGAGGCCAAGCTTTGGCTTACCTCCCGCTGCCGCCGTAGGGTCTGTCACCCACACCTTGTCTCCCGCCTTGTAACCAGTAAGGTGCGCTTTCTTATCGCATCGTCCTTTCATCTTCCTGGCTGCTTCTTCCGATTTGGTTCGAGCGTCCTGGAATGCCTTTTGCAGGGTTCGTGATCGGTCTTCCAAGAAACTTTGGACCTGCACCAGTGGTTCAGGTGGACGGAACTTTGCATCCGCGGGAAGACGGGCTTCCTGTCCATGGACCAGGAAGTAAGGAGTGTATTGTGTTGTTTCGTGTTTCGATGAGTTGTACGCCATAGCCGCTGCTCTGACTTTTAAATCCCAGTCGGAGCCCTGTGGCTCGATAAACTTTGAGACGACGTCCTTGAGCGTCCTCATAAACCGCTCCACCATCCCATCGCTCTCTGGGTGGTACGGTGTTGTTCTTGTCTTTTCGATACCAAGCCTTCTGCATAGTTCCTGGAAAACGGCCGACTCAAACTGCCGCCCTTGGTCTGAATGAAGCCGCTCCGGAACTCCAAAGTCGTACACCCACAACAGCAGGCAGTCTGCCACCGTCTCAGCCTTCTGGTTTTGCATGGGGTAGACTTTTACCATTTTGGAAAAGTAATCCATTATTACCAGGGCGTAGCGGTTCCCTCTGCTAGAGCAGGGCATTTCAGTGATGTCCATTGCCACACGTTCAAACGGTCGGCTCACAAGTTCAGTTTGTAGCGGTGCTCTTGCTGTGGTAGACGACCGGTTCCTGCGCTGACACAATACGCAGGATTTGCAGTAGTCCCGGACCTCTCCGTACGCACCAGGCCAGTAGAACCTCTCCATCACTCGGTCTAGAGTCCTCCGGAAACCCATGTGGCCCGCTGTTTCATCATCATGCAGACTCTGAAGAACTTCTTCCTTCTTGCTCTGTGGGACCAGGATCCTGAAGCTGGTTTCTTCATTGTGTTTCCTCACGATGCCCAAAACATGGTCTCTGATTTCCAGGTTTTCAAAATTTCTGGCAAAAATCCGTCGCTTCCAAGCTCCTTTTGCCTTCGAATCAAACCGATGCACCTCGCCATCCTGCACCCATCGAATGACCTCAGACAGCACCTCGTCTTCTTCCTGGACCGTCCGCCAGTCTGTTTTCGCGAAGCCCTGTCCGCTGTTGGTAGACCTGGACATCTGGCTCGCCTGGTCCTCGGCTTCTCGACAGACGGCTGTCGTTCCGGTTTGGTGCTGACTCTGTTCTGACGTGTCATCTCCATTGCGATTCAGTGAATTTGGCACCTCACCGCTGTCCTGTTCCTTCGCACCCGCGAACGGAACGGAATGGACCGGGGGCATGAGCGACCCTGCTGTTGACTGGACGTCAGGCGCCACCTCTGGCGTCACCTCGCCTCTTGCAGGTCTTCGTGAGAGTGCATCAGCGTTGCCGTGACTCTCGCCCGGTCTGATCTCGACCTCGAACTCATAGGAGCTGAGCTCGACTGCCCAGCGACCTCTTCTGCCCGTAGCGTCGTTTTCAATCACAATCGACTTTGGTAAGTTTCTCAAAGGTTTGTGGTCTGTGCACACCGTAAACGGCGAGCCAACCAGATATTGGCGGAAGTGGCGTATCGACCACACAATTGCCCAAAGCTCCTTGTCATAAGTTGGCCATCTTTTTTCCGACTTAGACAGCACTTTACTGGCGTAGGCGACCACATGATCCTCACCATCGACTGTCTCGGTGAGGACTGCGCCTATCGACGCGTTGCACGCATCGGTGTCCAGCCTGAATTTGCCTCGGAACGTGGGCAGTCGTAGCACCGGTGCGGAGGTCAGCACGTATTTCATCCTTTCAAAAGCGTTCAACAGCTCGGGTGACCAATCGAGCGGGCCCTTTCGCGCTGCAGCCTCTCGTAACAGTCTAGTTTCCTCGGAATACTCCTTGACGAACTTGCTGTAGTAGCCACACAAGCCCAGGAAGCTCAGTAGCTCATCAGCGTTTTGAGGTTGTGGCCACTGAGCCACCTTTTCCACGTTTCTCGGGTCTGGAAGTATTCCTCCCGACATGACCTTGTGTCCCAAGAAGGTCACTTCCTGCCTCCCCAGGAGACACTTGCTCGGCTTCAGCTTCATGCCAGCTCCGCGGATCCTGTTGAACATCTCAGTCAGTGTCTCGAGATGGCCCTTTTCAGTGCCGTTGAAGACAATTATGTCATCAATGTAGACCAGGCACGTTTTGTTGTCCATTCCTGCCAAAATGAGTTCCATGAGCTTCTGGAATGTTGGTCCAGCGTTTTTGAGGCCAAAGGCCATGACCTTGAAGTGATGAAGACCCTTGCCTGTTGTAAAAGCGGTCTTTTCTCTGTCCTCTGGAGCTATTTCGACTTGCCAGTATCCTGACGCCATGTCCAGCGAAGAAAAATATTTCGCTCCTGCCAGTGTGTCCAGTGCATCGTCCACTCGGGGAAGGGGATGGGACATCCCCTGAGTGACGCTGTTCACAGCTCGCAGATCCACACAAAATCGGTAGCTTCCATCTTTTTTCCTTACCATCACAATCGGTGAGCACCACGGACTGGTGCTTTCTTCTATGACGCCGTCTCTGAGCATCTCGACCTTTTGTTGTTCCACTTGATCTCGCAGCTTCAGTGGTATTCGGCGAGGCCTCTGCTTGATCGGAGCGGCATCTCCCGTCTTAATTTCATGTTGAGTGAGATGAGTCCTTCCGATATCATCGGCGCCCTTGCTGAATATGTCAGAGAACTCACGCACCAGCGCTTCTAGCTCTCGTTTACCTTCTTCTGACAAGTCACAATTCTCCAAATCCAGACCTGGAACAGTCGTGACTGAAAGCTGTGCTGCATCCTTTGACGCATCTGCCTGCTCGCAGATATCGTACAAGTCCTTTTCTCCTTCCGAGATGGTGAACAACGTTCCTACGTCTGTGTGCTTCATGATTTTAGCCTCGGTCGTGCCGGTATTGACCACTTTGATCGGGATAACCCGATTGTCTCGGACGATCGCCACTGAGCGTGGCACCCATAGATGTTCCGCGTTCTTCTTCTCACATGGCTCTAAGACTCCCTGGAAGCTCTGGCCTGGGTCCATTTGCGACCCACCGTTCAAAGGTTCGACTTTTGCCAGTACGAACGCTTCTGAACGTGGAGGAATGATCGATGTCTGCAGAATGCGTACCCTTGATCTGCTCGGTTGAACTTCACTGTAAGATGGCAGCGGAATTCTCAATTTCCCAATGCGGCACTCGCCTGCCTCATCGTCCAGAACCGAGCGATACCGACACGCGAAATCTCGCCCCAGTACCAGGTCTACAATGAGGCCTCGTGTCACCGCCACTTTGCAGGTGAATGTTTCCTCTTGGATCCTGAATCCAATCTGTCTACATCCCAGGATGTCAATGTGTTCTCCAGAAGCCCCGAGAACAGAGGAGGCTGACCGTTGATCAATCAACCGGTCGCCCTGCTCCTCCAATGAGTTGGCCAGCTCTTCATTGATCAGTGAGAAGTCCGCTCCAGAGTCCAATAAGGCCCAAATCTGCCTCCCTTCCAACATCACCTTGATCATTGCTGCCGTCTTCCGAGGCTCCTCGCTTTTCCCAGCTGCTTCCCGCCTCCCGGTCGCAGCTGCGCTTAGTTTTCCGACAGATGCTGGCTCTGACGGCTGAGCTCGGGTCGCTTCCGACAGGTAGCCATCCAGTGACCCGCCTTTCCACAGCACATACAAAATGCTTCCGGTCTCTCGGTCACCTTTTGTCTTCTCGGTGAGGCATGCGGACAGTTTCTTCTAAAGTGACCCGGCTCCCCACAGCCGAAGCACCTTGCTTCTATTCTCTTTCTTTGGCGGTCCATTTCGTCCTTTGAACTCTGCGCCTCTCCGATCGCAGCGACGACGCCCAGTACCTCGTCCAGCTTCTCCTGCAGCCTATTAACTTTTTGTTCGAGCTGGTCTGCTGAGCTTGACGCTTTTGCTACAAGCACCTGGTCGGACGGCCTTTCCTCTGCGTCGCTCGAGCCACCGACGGCTCCGATAGCGGCCAGAGCATCCCGAGTCCGACGGAGACATCGCACCTCTTTTACGGCCTCGTCTAGAGTGCTCAAGGGCTTGTCCATCAATTTTGTCTGTAGCCAAGGCTCCTTTAACCCACACAAAAATTGACTCACTATAGCCGACTGTAGGTCTGAGAAAGATTTCTCGGGGTAGGCCCTCTTGGCCAACTCCTGGATTCTGTCGCCGAAATCCTCGAATGATTCTCCTGTTTGTCTGATAGCCTGGTTGAGGTCCGAATATGCGTGAATAGTGTTCACGTCTTTCCCAAAGCGTGCGCTTAGAGCTTTCTTGACCTCGGCGTATTGTCTTCGCAGCTCTTCTGGCATTGACGCGCACACGTCCAATGCCTTACCATCTAGGCATATAAATAACGCTTCGAGCCATTCGCTTTTGTCCCCCAGGCCTGCCAATAGCTCAAACCGCTGGATCCAAACATCCCAGCCTTCATCATTACCTCCGTCAAATTTCCTGATCCGGGATGTAAAGCGCAGAAGTTTATCCGACTGGAATTTCTGGCCTGTCTTCTCTTTCTCATCCATTTCTGTTTTGTGCACCGAGTGACAAGCAGAGTACACCTCTCGCTGCCCCCGCCTCCAGGTGAGTTATCGAGTGAGCAGTGGAGTGCACCTCTCACTGACCTCGGCACAAATAAGAATACCAAATAGTCCGGAGCGACGGGTGCCCTAACCGGGATAAGATACTCGGTAGAAGAAGGCAAACGTAGGCTTCTTACCTTCGACCGCGCCAATGTTGTGTTGTTGTCTCCGACGCCAACAGTCCTCAGACTTGCACTCTCATTTATTGCGTCCGCTCCCGGTCACCGACTCCAACACAATGACCGCCTCTCGGCGGCGACCCAGCACCGCGCCGGCCGCGCAGGGCCACGCCCCTGACATTCGGGGCCGCGCCATAAACCACGGGCGTCGCGGTTCCTACGCCCGCGGTCGGGCCCGCGCCACAAGGGCCGAGGAGCCACCGCCTACGCCGCTATAACTTAACTACGCCACAGATTCATTGATCTGACAAGTATGGGGGCATAAGCTGCTTTTGAAAGATCGTTGAGGTAATCCAATTCCGCTCTGGACCCTCATGAATCATAATCCTATCAACGAACTTGTTTCCTCGTGGATGACATTCGATGTCTTTATTTTCAAATTATAATATTTCCCTGAATATGTCGGCCGTCCGTGATTACTCGTAGTGTCCCGCTCTGCGACTGACATGTGCCTTGACCGAAGCTTGTCCTTGATTCCCCACCCCCGATCACACCAGGTGGACTTTGAACGTGACTCCGAGGAGAGCGGCATGGTCACCACGAGGAAGGTGCACCGCAACCTCTTCACCCTCGGCAACCCGTACCCGCAGAAGAAAGTCATCACGTTCAACCGCAGCCAGCAGGACTTTGGCTTCACGGTCAACCTCGGTGACCTCAGCCACCTGCCGCCGGAGGAAGTCAGGTCAGTTGACGGAACGCCGCTATATCAATGGCAGTAGTTTGACTCCGTAGGCAGGCGCTCCAATTAGTGTTTAGCATCCTGTCTGTGTCTGCCTCTGTCTTCCTGTAACCCTGCCTATGTGGATTGTGACAGCTGCTCTTTGCCCGTCTCTCCACCGCCTGTGTCTCGGTTCGTAAGCTCTGTATCTCGTCTCCATCCGTCTAATACAGCTGACCTTTGTGCCTCTGTCCCGTCTCTTCTCCTCGCCTCTTTGTATCAGTTCCCGTCTCTGACCTCTGCGTCCATCCGCAGTGTGATCGGTGGCCAGAACCTGTCGTACGTCCTGCTGGACGGCGTGGCAGACATCTACGCCAAACACTCGGGCGAGGGAGTCGACTCCAAGGGCATCAAGGTGCACTTCCAGATGGACGACAGCGGCCTGCTGCACCTGACGGGCGCCGAGGCCGTGTTCGAGAAGCGCGGCGTCGGCGTAGAGGAGGACCAGGATGACGCCGGAACCCTGGCCAAGCTCAGCAGCGCCTTCAGTAACCTGTTCAGCGGCGACGGTAGGTGGCCTGGCCGGGGTGACCCAGAACAGTTCATAATGCGGCTCTCGTGAATAGTCAGAAAGCTCTGAAGCGCGTTTCTTTTGAAACAAGGCATCACGATTTTTCTTTCGTTTTTTTTAGCCTTATATTTACTGAAAAACAAGTTCGTGGTTAGCCGTAGCCTTTTGTTGATTATTTTCGCTCGCTGTTCGTTTGTGGGCGTGTGGTTAGGGCTGGTATCGTATCGCATGAGCTCTGACCTCCGTGTTCACTATTCATGCTCTACCCCTCTCCTTCGCAGAGGAGAAGGACAAGGACGGCAACGTGGAGGAGGGAGAGTCGGATAGTACGGCACGTGCTGCCAAGGACAAGGATGCCAAGAAGGAGAAGAAGGACACCGACAAGAAGGAAGACAAGAAGGATGACAAAGATAGCAACAAGACGGCCGACGAGACGAATAAGACGGCCAAGGCCAAGGAGGACACGCCCAAGGTGAAGGTGGTCAAGGTGCCGATCAAGTTCCACGTGACTAACCTGAACGTGCCGGATCTGGAGGGCGAGGCACTCGAGAAGGCCAAACTCAAGTGAGTATGAACTCGATTCACTCGTTCTGTTAAGTCAGATTGGTTTTTATCCTAGGCTCCCAATAATTGAAGCCGGTGGGCATGTGCGGAAGGCCAGTTTCCCTTAGTTTCACAATAGTCCCATTGTGTTGAGGCTCATTAAAAAACGCAATTTTTAGGTACTGGCTAGAAAGCAATATTTTTATTGTAACGGTAAGGCTGCCCAAAATTCATTCGTAAATAAGCGTGAAGAAGTGGACTGATAGTTCTACGCTGGAGTTTTCGATCGGGACTCGGGCTGTTGACCGCTTGGTATTTGCAGAAATAATGTGTTACTTTATCTCTGCAGGATCGCCGACCTGGACGAGGCGGACCGTCAGCGTAAGCGACGCGAACAGGCGCGTAACGCTCTCGAGTCGTACACCAACGAGCTGCAGTCTCGGCTGTACGACGAACCGTATGAGGAGGCGTCCACCGAGGAGGAGCGCGAGACGCTGCGCACCAAGGCCAGCGAGATGAGCGACTGGCTCTACGAGGAGGGATTCCACGAGACGGCCGCCGTCTTCGAGGAGAAACTCGACGCCATGAAGAAACTCACCAAGGTAAATTACGGAAAAGGCAGCGGTAGAAGGTTGTCAACGTACCTGGCATTTAAACGGTAGTTCACAGGTACCCTACTCACAGTGTTCGGGACGGCTCATCGGTTTGAAGTATACCAACAGAAACACTTGTTTAGAATTTAGCTCCATGTCTTCCGACGGTTGGCGTGCAAAAAATGTGTCTGCGTGCATGCCGGTGTATGAGCGACTCCGCAATAATGTCTTCCCCTTTGTCTCTGGCGCTGTACACGTTGCATGATCGTCCATGTCCGGGCGTGTTTCCAGGCGCTGTATGACCGTGTGGAGGAGCACCAGAAGCGGCCGGACGCCGTGCAGGCTCTGCTCGATATGCTGAACGCCACCGATCACTTCATCACTCAGTCCGAGGACAGTGTCAAACAGGAGATCATCTCCGAGACAGATCTGAGCGGTCTCAAAAAGATGGTCAACTCGACCAAGGTATGTGGCAGGCTTAACCAAGCCTCTACGATTTTAATCATGCAGTGAGTTCCAACTAAGCAGCTGAGTCCGTTTTGCCAGGACTCTGCTCTGCGGAGCCGGTTGCCTGCGTGCGTGCGCTGGTTGGTGTCTTGTGTGGAGGTACGCCTGCGTGTGTTGTTTGTGTGTATTTTATGGTGTTGCAGTCCGCGCCTCTTGACCCCTGCCGTTTGTCCCGTCATGTAGGAGTGGCTGAAGGCGAAGCAGGCCGAGCAGAAGAAGACACCGCTCACCGAGTCGCCCAAGCTGCGGCTGAAGCCCATGGCGGAAAAATACGTCAGCCTCGACAAGGAGGTCAAGGTGCGTACTACATTCATAGTGACGCTAGATAGTCACTTGATAGTCGTACACAACTGTAGCCGGATAGGGGTGGTTCCACTCTACAGGACCTTGCTTACATTGAAATCACATCGATACTTGGACCACGTCCTTACGATCTCCCACTTTCTTCATCCCCTCCTCCGTTCCCTCTCTTCCGTTTTGCGTGGTAAGACGTGGGCAGTGGACACTGGACAGTGTTTTCGTCTGGGCTAGCGCATGACATCCCTCTGACCCCTTCTCACTCTGACACTGTCCCCTTTCTGGTCCCCAGTACGTGGTCACCAAACTGAAGGTGGGCGCCGCCAAGAAGATCCGCGATGAGGCCGACGCCAGGGCCAAGGAGGCGGCCGCCAAGGCTGAGGAGGAGCTCAAGAAGAAGGCTAAGGCAGCCGGTGAGTGGGTGTTAGAATACGGTTCTACCTATATATTGTATGTCCCCGTCAGTGCCGTCACTGACTAATTCCAGCACTGACTGTAAAATGGAATTGTCTGTCCGTGGATTTGTCGCATGAGCTCTTAAATTCGTCCGTGCTGCAACAGCTTTTCGATTGAATTTTAACAGTTTTGAATGTTTTGGACGTACTTCCGGTGTGCATACTGTTGAGTCAGTCCTGTGTTTGTCTTTTCATGTTCTTAGTTTCATACTATCAGCTGTTTCGCTAACGTTTGACGTGCCCTAACCGCACTGAGTTCCTCACCACCTCTCGCCCGGGCCCTTTGTTCACCGGCCTGCGGAGTGAACTAACCGCCAGCGCCGTCCTCTCGCAGAGGCCGCCTCAAACGAGACGGGGGAGGGCGCCGCCGAGCCGCCGGCCGAGCAGGGTGAGGCCGCGCCGGCCGCGGACCAACAGCAGGCGGAGGTGGAGAAGGAGGCGGCCGCCGAGCCGTCTGACGCGTCCGAGGAGAATGACGCAGAGTCGGATAAGAGGAAAGGTACGCGCGTGGTGGCCGGTTACGTACGCGGCCGGCCGTGGTACCGGTCCCGTTACGGCTGGCACACGGGACTCCGGTGACTTGGGGCGGCGGCACTGCGGCATCTGAGACCGAGGCTATTTTATCATTGAGACGGGTCGTCTTGCACGGCTGTGATACCGATTGATTTTTTTTTTTGCGGAACAAAATAAACAGTTCTAACTTTCTTCTCTTTTCTTTTGAATGGCTGAACATGTGAGTGTGTTGTGAAGCTACTCTTACCTGCTTGTGCTAAATTACCTTATTTTCAATTTATTTCCAACGACCTTATGCTCAATGTCGGGCAAGTCCACCGCTGACACCGCTGTCTCTGGTTGCAGACGAGGAGCAGCCTAGCCCTGAACTGCACACGGAACTGTAGCCGGCCAGTGAGCGGCGCCACCGGGCCGACCGAATCTCCGGCCGACGAGCCGGCCCACTCAGAGGACATGGCCGACGGCAGCGGCCCGGGGGCGCCTGACCCCGGGGTCACAGCGGCCCGGCCGCAGAGCGGTCTCTTTTGACGAGTGCTGACGGAGTGGAAGGGCGCTATGAGTCAGAGATGGATGTTATTATTTATTGCCGCCGGTGCATTATGTTCACATTCCAAGCTGGTGACTGTATTAGGCCGGTGGCACCGGGCCCGGCCCGTCGCGCGTGTTATGTGTGTTGGTGTGGGGGAGGGGGTCCTTTCCTTTGCCCAGCTCCGGGGGCAGTGCGGCCGGACCGACACGCCACCAGCCGGAACGCACATGCTGATAGTATTGTGATTGGAATGTGAATGGTAACGAAATTCAGGGGTGTGGACTGTGGATGTTATGGTTCTTATTCTTCACGGACGGAATGGTTTGAATGCACTTGTTTTGTTAGAACAATTCGATTGTAATGAAATAAAGCACCTTTGGAGGATTGATTGGTCTGCGTTTGTTTGCTTGTGATTACAAACCCATATGGAGCATCATTCAAATTCACTAGACCGGATGATTGAACAGAGAGTTTTCGTCGAAATGGATTTACTTTTTGCGGTTTTGCGAAACCCTCTCAAATGGCTAGGTTCAAGATTACATCAACATGGAGCATTATTACTTTACAACTGGATAGGATGAATGTGGGCGCATTTGGTAGCACCACTTAAAGCGAATCTGGCGCTCTTGTTTCAATACTCGATTATCAAAATAATGTTCAGCTTTCGGTTAAAACTGCTGATCTAGCTTATTGACGTCAACTCAGAATCAGTTCACCAATGAACACAGCGAAAGAAACAAATTGAGACACAACCTTCCCCAGCTAGAACAAAACTACTCTGGCACTAGAAATCCCGTGTTGTTTGTATAGTTATGGAATAAGTTGAAAAGCGTGTTGCTTGAGGAAGTTATTATTAAGTATTTGGGAAATTTTAGGTAATTTAGTAATTTTTTATGTGCCTTTGTACTCTCATCCTCTCCGGTTTTCTGTCTCACTATTCTTAAGTTCATTTATGCTCCTTATGCCTCGTGGCTTGCAGCTCATTTTGCTATTTTGACTTGCCTGCAGACTGCGGTTTAAATAATTCCTTTGTGGTTTCAGCTGTGTTCCTTGCACATCATTTCCTCAAAGTGCTCTGGGCCCATACAACAGTTCAGAATGGTACTTGCCATCGCCAGGCGCCTGCATGGCACCACCCTGCTCAAAATTTGGGACACAGGTGAAAACGGTGCTGGAGGGCATATATTTGTTCACATGATTTTTAAGAAGCTCTCCCCCTCTCATTGCTTTCTACACTGTGGTTGTCACATGGTTTGTGTGAGTGAATTTCAAGAGCCTTGCTCAAATTGCCCCAGGCAACAATTTGATTTCAACAAAGTTTTCACCGTTGTCCAAAATTTGTGCCTTTTCACAGTGAGAGCCGCTCAATCCTTAGTCTGCACCAAACCTGGCATCAGCTGACTATTCTCTTGAACTCTTCATTTAAAAGATCTCATCATAATTACCATGTTTTGCAGTGTATGCACCAGGCAATGACTGTTTTGCTGAGTCAGGGAGTGTTTCAATTTGTTTTGGGACTAGTTAGGCAACTCTGATGGATGGGAAGAGTACCTTGGTAACATCACAAGTTAGGTATTCTAATATTGAATATAAGTTTGATAATTTTTTTGCCATAGTACTACCCCACAAAATCCTTGCATTACACCGGGCCCCTGGGTAAATTGTCACGGACTGATTGATCTCACACTGGCTGATATGCTCTCTTTAGAATTGCAATAATTCTTCCAGGCTGCCACTTGAACATCAACAGACAGGGATTGCTGCTGCCCACAGCTCAGCAAACAAGATGGACAGTCCACGTCCTGTGCTCCTTACCAAGGCGTCCGAGGCAGCTGCCGAGCTGGGCCGACCCAGCTCCACTGAGCGGGCTGTCACTGTGATGCGGAAGGACGACACAGTGCTGCTGCCCAGTGTCGAGGGTGGTGCATCAGACACAGGTGAGAGTCAGGTGGATGGAATGGTAGGAGACCTTGTGGGCCACCGGCACCATCATATCTCCCACACACACACTCAAGTCTTCAACATTGTTAGTGCGTCCATGAGAAAAATAATCGAAGATTCCAAGAGATTGCTTGTGGTTTTATGCTGCCGTGTTGTCTGAGTCTGACCGTTGGTTATTGTCTCCAGGCGGGCGTCGGCCGGCGGCCAGTCTGAGCGTGCCGCCGCCGCCTCCGCAGCCCATGTCGCGGCCTTGTCCGCTGCTCAGTGAGAGCCTGCAGGTGTCGGACACGGGCGTGGCCTGGCTCGGCGAGGGCACAGAGTTCCTGGTGGTGGGCGCTGTTGGGCGGCAGGGCGTCGGAAAGTCCACCGTCATGTCCATGCTGGCCGGACAGGCGCCGTTCTGTCCCATCAAGTGAGTCGGCCCAAAGCTCACTAATTAACGTGTTTTAAACCTTATTCACCGCTGCATTATAAACTGTAGCAATTTGATAAAGCTCAAAGGTTATGAGGTGGTGGGGAGAGCACTTCAAATTTCTGTCGGATGTTAGAGATCCAAGGTTACGCCATGGATGAAGTATTCCTAATCCATAGGAATACCTAATCCATGGTTACGCCTCGTTCTCTGCTTAGCATAACATTTACGTCCATCAAAACTATACGATCTCCAACATGAATGTAGCCCATAGATTGCATAATAGAGAGGTTTAGCCTAGCATATTCAAAAATTGATAAATGTCCATTGAGATAACAATTTCCGTTCCGCTCCTCCGTCCAGGAAGTACATGTTTCCTCCGGAGACGGTGCAGCAGGTGCTGAGCAGTGAACACCGCACCAACGGTATCGAGATGATGGTGACCGGTCAGCGGGCGGTGCTGCTGGACACCCAGCCGCTCCTGTCGCCCTCCATCGTCGATCTGCTGGCCCAGGGCGACCGCAAACTGCCCGGAGACGGCGGGTCAGTCGGGCTGCTCGGCCGGGGGAGGTGGGGGCGCAGGAGTCGGTTCAGGGGTACGGAAAGGCGGTCTAGGGACCAAGGCTAGTCGGTTGATGAGACACGGAGCCAGTGAGCATGGCGGGTAGTGGCCACCAGCCGGCTAGTAGGTCACCAGTTAGCCAGGGGCGTGGTAGTTCAATCGGGGACGAAGGGGCACGGTGGTCAATCATGGTGAACCAGGAAATACGGGGCTCAGTCCAGAGGGCACCACTGCTCACTCTGTGTCAATCCGCTTCTTCGTTCATATTAACTATAAGTTATCTAACTACAATATGATAAGGGACTGTGATGATTAATGACATTGACTTAATGTTAGTGGAGAATGATTGTAACTGGGCACAGATGGGAACTGTTTCCGTCCGGTCTGGCTGGGAACTTGGGGCTGGGAATAGACCGACTGTGACTGGAGACCGGGACTGACTGTGGGACTATGGCCGGACGTTGCTGCTGTAATGATAGACTGGAACTGACGGTGAGCGATTTGTGATCGCCGACAGCTCGCTGGAGACCCAGATGGAGCTACTGGCTCTGCAGCAGCTGGCCTTCCTCTACTCCATCTGTCACGTGGTGCTGGTGGTGCAGGACTGGTGTGTCGACTCGGACCTCGTCAGGTATGTGACCTTCCCCCCCCCCAGCCGGTGTCTGTCAGCCGCGTCTGGTCCTACGGTTACGGCCCGGTTCGGCGGATTCAGGACGGCCGGGTGTCCCCCACGCCATCGAACAGGCCCCGATTAACGTCTGTTTGTGTTGGAGTGTGAACGGTGGTGTGTTCATACCGCGACTCGTCCCTGGCTCCCAGGGTATCGGTTACCGTCCCAGCGCCCTCCCTTCCTCCCACCCGTTGGGAGGCGTCTCGCCGGTGGATCACGGCTCCGGTCTGGTGGCTAGTTTAGCTAGCTTACACACACAATACTGTGCTGGAGCGTGAGTGATATTCTTGACAATTCTGAATGCTCGGCGGTACATACATAAGTGAAATTAAAGTAGAAGACCTGAAAATTGACTTTCCCCACAAAGCGCTTTAGTCTATTGGAGCTTTCGATATGTATTTACATATCTTTGGCAGCAGTCGTATCGTAAAAACTTCGGTCGCATCAAAATCGGTAGCGCATGAAAATCACTGGTGGCGCAGTAACTAGTGCATAGTGATATACCACTGCCGTTGGTAACCCACCGGTGCCAAAAGTCGCCGCAGATATGTGTGAAGAAACTATAACAAACATGCTACCATGTAAAACTCAATACCAAATCCGCTCGTAATACGCATTTACTTGCTCACATATCTCCAGTAAGTGACACACCGTTACTAGCATTACTCTACTGCCGTAAGTGGCCGTCTGACTCACTCACATGACGTCTGAAAATGCCGGAACATCCCGCACAGGACACTGCCCCGTTAATGGGTCAGATGGGACCGCATCCGACATGCCGGAAGAAATATACATAATCTCCTCGGTAGCTGCCGACGTCCGAGGGTCCCGGTACGCCTCATTTCCCGTAATCCATTACACTCGGGTTACACGGCGCATTTGCCAGATTCGATCTCAAGTCGTTTCCTGATGTGCAATGTAGAACGTTACCACGCATCATGTCTCGTTTGAGTCGCTTATTTATGGCACGGGGCGATTGAAATGGCTTATAGTTTCATTTTGGCATACAGGGTTATATCATGGATTCTATTGACGATAATGTATATTTTCGACGCATCAGCTCTTTTTTACCCCCGTCACAACCGCTGTCTCAATGAAGAAGTCCCACCCACGAAACAACGCAAAGTTCTCCATCAAATAAGCTCGAAACGATCCCTGTGTGGTAAGAATAGTCTAGAGTGAACTGGCCACACCGCTGTATGTACGTACATACCTAGATCGGTCGGTGACGTCACATCTCACCTCTAGCCGAGCGGTCGGGCTATCCGACGCCGGCTGTTTGACAAACGGGCACGCTGTGTCTGTCAATGTCATAGTTCTGTTTGCGTAATTCCCCGCCGGAATGGGTGAATTTTGCCCTTGCTGTTTACGCATTACGTGCATGATCCATCATGTGCGCTGGGATCTTGAATCCAACAAACAAACAAACAAACCCTGTCGGAAATGCGTTTTTGACACCGGTCTAGCCAAACGCATTGTCCGTCACCTAGCCGTACGGTGGCGAACGCACTGTGCTGTGCGGCTCAGCCTACCTGCCAGGAATACATGTAGTGCGGCTCAGCCTATCTGCCAGGTCTGTGCTGTGCGGCTCAGCCTACCTGCCAGGAATGTGTAGTGCGGTTCAGTCTACCTGCCAGGAATGTGTAGTGCGGCTCAGCCTACCTGCCAGGAATGTGTAGTGCGGCTCAGTCTACCTGCCAGGAATGTGTAGTGCGGCTCAGCCTACCTGCCAGGAATGTGTAGTGCGGCTCAGTCTACCTGCCAGGGCTGTACTGTGCGGCTCAACCTATGCACTGTGCTGTGCCGCTCAGCCTACCTGCCAGGCCTCTGCTGTATGTACAGGTGAGCCTACTTGCCAGGCCTGTGCTGTGCGGCTCAGCCTACCTGCCAGGAATGTGTAGTGCGGCTCAGTCTACCTGCCAGGAATGTGTAGTGCGGCTCAGCCTACCTGCCAGGCCTGTGCTGTGCGGCTCAGCCTACCTGCCAGGAATGTGCCGTGCGGCTCAGCCTACCTGCCAGGAATACATGTAGCGCGGCTCAGCCTACCTGCCAGTCCTCTGCTGTATGTACAGGTGAGCCAACTTGCCAGGCTTGTGCCGTGCGGCTCAGTTTACCTGCCAGACCTGTGCTGTGCGGGTGAGCCTACTTGTCAGACCTGTGCTGTGCGGATGGGCCTACTTGCCAGCCTGCTGCCGGTGGGCGGTCCGCGCCTGCCGTGCTGTGACGTCCCAGACAGCGTTGTCACCGTTCGTTTTATTGAGTGGGGGCATGGCGGTACGGGATTGAGACTTGAACTAAACCTTGTTTTATATATAAAAAAGTATTGTTAGCGATTTCATAGGTGTTTCTCACATTCAGCTTCATTCGCCTGAAATGCATAGTGACGTAAACCGGTGGGATGTGGGGTCTGTTCCATTTTCAGTTTTTGTTTTGTGGGTAAGTCTAAATGTTCGCTCAGGGCTTACCGATGTTTAGGCTGCCGTTAGTGTCTACACGCCCGTTTTTTCTGAGCAAGAGCATCGCAAACAATTCCTGAATATCGGCTGTAAAATATTACCTCGATAGGTAAACGAATAAATAACTCGACATAGCTGCGAACTCACATCGATTTCCTGACATTATGTTTGGGTGAGGAGGTGGGGCATCGAGCCGTGGTCACTTAGTGTTTGACCTGGACGAAGGCACGCTATCTACTAAAGAGGAGCCGACTTCAATGCCAATGTTACAACGACCGTGCTCAAACATGCCACCTTTCAGCGTTTCCCTTCCTTCTAGCCATGTTTGTCATGGCCTTTTTGATACAAAGCCAGTACACACGATTGTCAAGGTGCTTCACCACTTTGCCCTTTGGCGGCATCTAGTTCCAATGTTGATTGTTGACGCAGCCGAACAGAAAGTTCTCACTCGGGGGACGGTGGTCATTGGAGTGTTCCTGGTCATTCGTGACGCTGAGCTGAAGGGAACAGGACTGACATTTGGTGCAAGGCAATATTGAAGAGTTGCGGCACTAGTTGTGCCGTTGGTAAGTAGTTGTAAGGTAGGAACACAAAATGACGGCTGCTCCTCACGATCAAAATATCATTCGCGCTTTTTGAAGGACGGCTTCACTTCAAAGCACTGTGTCTTTGGTAGTCGTTTACCAAAACATTCTTCCAAGTAAATTATTGTGACAAATAATGAATTATGAAATGGAGTTTACTGCACATTCCACCAGTAGCGGCGGAACACCTTCAATTAAGGGGGGGGGGGGTGCACTGCTTATAGGAAAGGATGCTTATAGAACGTCAATGGAATAAGGGTAGCTTGATAAGCCGCCCAAAGGTCAGTGCTTATTATGAACGTGCCTGAGTTCAGAAGTCTAGCCGGCCAGGCAGTAGCGAGGAACACCCTCAATTAAGGGGGGGGGGGGGGGGCACTGCCGACTTTTGATCCCATTCTTTCCATGCAACGCCCATAGGGCTAATGTTAAAAGCCAAAATCAAAGGGGGGCACGGTACCCCGGTGCCCTCCCCGTTCCGCCGCCTATGCATTTCACATTTCTACATAGAACTCCTGTTTTATTGACCGTGCAGGATCCTGAAACCCGTCGCTGTTCCAGATTTTCACTCCTGACATCAGCCGCCGGGGACTGGACGTCAGAATGCTCTCTAAGGTGCACGTCGCTGGCAGGACAGCCGCCGATGCGACACTAGCCTCGAGTGGCGGCTGGCCTGAAGGTCATCCAGAGGGGCCGCCAAACCAGAAGTGCGCCGGGTCGGCGGTGAGCGCGCAGTCCGTTCCGGAGCGTCTCCTGCTCGGCCTGCTGAGGCTGCTGGCGCTGACCGGAGACGCCGGCTGGTGGAGCCAGCTGCACGCCGCGCTCGTCCACGCTCTGTACACGGCCGGCGCGGCTATTGTGACCGTCCAGATGGCCCGCGCTGCCGCCATGTACCTCAAGTATACCACTGTGGTGCTCGCCCTGTCTGTCACCAGCTGTGGCGGCCTGATGCACGTGCTGATGTGGTTGCCGCTGGCTTGCTGTTTCGTTGTCGGGCGACGCAGAAGTCATCAGGTATTCACCATCATTGGAAGTCTTATGTGTCGCTTCGTTGAGCTGCCTGGATATCAAGAACCGGCCAAGACGCTACGCCGAACCTGCGCTTGTTTGCTGATGTTTTCCACAATACTGCTTTTTGTCTGCGTAATCCTTCCCTTCATGTTTGTTAATCAGTCCGATCATTTGTCCTTGGTTTCCGGAACACACGTGCTCAAGTTTTTTGTTAATTTACTGAGTGGGCTGTTCTTTACCAGTGCTCACCTGATACCGGTGAAGTTTATGTTGGCCGTACTCCAGCTGTTGGTTGGTTACCGCACCATCTCTGGAGAGCTGCTGGCGGCAGTGGAAGGCAGACGAACCATCAACGTCGCCACTCTTCGAAGCCTCAGGTCGCTGCACGACCAACTCTCGGCTACATTCGAGTCCCTGATCGCTGCTATGTCCATGGAACTAGTGACCATCACCGTCTACGGCATTTTCTCTATGATTAGCGTAATGCTATCCTCCATTCCAGCCGTCCAGTCAGGCGCTAACTACGTCTTGATTTCCATGGCCGTGGTCTACCTCATTAGCGTGTTCGTGACGCTGGTGCTGCCGTCTGAGGTCGTCCAGTGGGTCCTCGACACTGTCGGAAAGACCCGAAACCTGCTGCTGAAGCCGCAGCTGCAGCTGCCGGCCCTGCAGCCCGAGCTGGGGCTGTTCCGGGAGACGATCGGCCGCGACCTGGACACGCTCGGTGACCTGGGCCTGTTCCGACTGCAGAGGTCCACCGTGCTCTCCATCCTGGCCACCATCCTGACGTATATCATCGTCATGCTCCAGTTCCACATCTCGGAGGCTGGATCGTGCCCTGAAAATAAAACGACGGAAGCCTAAATAGTAGCTGCAGACCGTTCAGTAAATGCTCTGAAACAGGTTCTTGCTGATACTGTTTCTGAATAACTGCGCAGCTGTTTAGAATGGATTCGAAGCGCTTGATGCATGAGCATCGCGCTTTATGAATAAAGCTTTCCTGATTTGACTGTCCATGACAGACATTCATGTTGATAATGTTATCATTGTCCGTATACATGTCGCACCTATGCTTTTCAGTGTTACCCAGCTGATTTAACCCTCGCCGGACCTATTGGTTTTCTACATACGCGCCGGCCGAGGGGGGGGGGCGGGTACGACCCCCCCCCCCTCGCCGTTTCGCCCCTGGTGGAGCTAGCGCGTCGCGGAAAAAACGAGCGTGTGCGCCGTTACGAGACGCAGATACTGGTACCCGATTTTAAGGTCCTAGCTCAACTGGTGACCTCTGAGGTCAGGTCAAGTGCCCCAGGGTATGGTTCAGTTTTTGGTGAATAGCTTCGCAAAAAACGGCCGCAGAGCCGCGATTTTGGCAGCATCGTGTTCGCCTCGCTCAGGCGCGTCGAATGATATACTTTTTGTTTGGGTCAGGTCAACTTGGGGTGTTGACCTCAGGTCAAGGTCAGGTCAGCACCCCCAGCTGTCACGAAGCTGGTCGAAAGAGGTCATGTCGAATCTCATTCGATTCGGCAGGTCTTCCTGAGTCCATTGGTGGCTTTCTCGACTCGCTAGCTCAATTTGATCGGGAGTTATTGACGAAAAACTAATATGACCTTGATGACGTCATAAATGACGTCACGGAAGGTCAACATTGCAAAAGTGACGCATCTAACCTTGCAAGGAGTGCATCAAATCACGATTCTGTGTGCTTGAGGTAGTTGGAGATCGTTCCCGGCGCCAGAATAGCAGTTTTCATTTTTCCCCATTGACTTATAGGTAATGGTGAGGTCACGAAAATGACCTGACCTCATATGACCTTTAGGAAAAATCCGAGATATACAAGTTGTTAGACTCATAATGGATACTAGATCCTGCAAGTTTCATTTCCCTGTGACATCTCCTCTGGCAGTGAGGGCGTTGCGAAGTTGCGACATCTGGAGACCGTGCAGAGGTTCACTTATGACGTCATAGGTCAGTGACCTGACCTGACTCAAAAATGCGGTTGGTGTCAAAAGATGCGGCTTGGATAAAAGGTCAGGTATGCCAAGTTTCAGCTCTCTATCGCCAGCGTGTTCGGAGCTATCGCGAAAAAACCCTATGGGGGGGGGGGGCGGCACCCGCCCCCCCCTCGGCCGGCGAGGTTTAACTAGGCACCTTGGGGTTTTAACAGCTAAGAGAATGCAGGAACACATTCATATGAGGCACTACACGTCTGCACTTATCTATCTATAGGCAAATGTGCTGACACCTGCACGAGCCCTGAAAGTTACCTTTTTATAACGTCACTTAGTAGTGATCTCAGAAACCACTTTAAACGCAGACCCGATACCATTCAATGGTGTCGTGCACTTAGATACCTACTATAAAGTCACAAATAAACTAAAGGAAAAAACTGTCTCCGGTCAAGGCTAGCTGCAAATGACTGTGACATCCGTTTACGAATTCGGTTGGTTAATGTGTAAATGTGATCCCCATTACCACTCTGCCGCCACCTGGCCACTGATTAGACATAAGACGTGGAGTATCGTTGTACGCTATACCTACATACTACATAGGCAACTTAGTACCCTGTGATGCTGGTCTTACGAGTCCTCGTAATATGCTGGTCCTCGTAATATGACTACACCTACCGCGTCCTTTTCTCTGTTACTGTAATGTAGGCACTGAATAAATATGAATTCTATCTGACGTTTGCTGCATGCATACCTAAACGTGAACAGGCGGGGTAGAACGAAATGAGGGAACGGGAAGAACGAAATGAGGGTAGAGTAAAATGGAATGACAGCCTGATGAAGGGCGCGTAAATGGAGCGAGGCATACCAGGTGTTGAATTGTGCGAAATGTGCTTGGATTGTGGCGAAGCCTAGAAAACCGGCAATGACCCAGTATACGAAACGGATTGGAGCACGAGAAGCGCGGCAGTAATGGTAGTACTTTGCGGCTAGGCGGAATTGGAAACGCCGGAGCCGAAAACCGCCAGCGCTTGGTAGGTGGGTCGCCTGTAGTTAATTAATTATCAGGTCATCAGCACCTGGCTCATTACCGTGCCGCCCCTCCCCCCAATGCGGCAGAGACAATTTTAACAGCTCTCTATGATGATGCAACGCCGTCGGCGGACTGTGGCCCTGGTGGGTGCCGTAGTGGCGGACACCCAGTCTGTCGTCATGGAGGAGGCGACGGTTCTTTGGGCCACTCGGACACCCATGGCGCACGTGCACGGAGCTCGGGTGGCCTGGTCACAGCGCCTCCTCTGCGGCTGCAGCCGTGTCAATAAGCAGGGAGCTGCTGCAGCTGCCTGACGTGACCGATCTCCGAGCTCCTCCCCTCCCAGAACCCCCTCAGACCCCCCCAGACTGACCCCTCCCCTCAGCTCGTCGAGCTGCGGGAGGGGTCGGTGGGCGGGCGGCGGGGCGGGCTGCGCCGTCGGCCGCTGTCAGGGCTCGCGGTGACGGTCGGACGGTCACACCGGGGCTCCGTCTCCACCCGTCATGGGTCTCCGTCGCGCCGGCGGACACCGGATACCGACTCACTCAGCCTCGCTGTTTATTTGTGTGTGTCCTACGAGGATGATGGCGAAAACGAGCGGCGCAGATCGGAGCGCGCCGACAGGGCCTGCGTGCGACTCCGTGTGTAAATAATCCGCTCATGTCATAAATCCAGTGCTGGATGACGTATTATCCACATAGTTTTGGTGTTTATTTATATTTGTTGCTATGGTACTGATAGCAATTATAATTGGAGGATAATATTAACAATTAGGTATGTCGAGTGCATTCGTTGGATCATGGCACATCAAGGCGATGGAGTGCGTTCTCACACCTCTTGTAAATATACAGGGGGTAAATATAATGTGTATAGCTCCTAAGCCACATAGCGAGCTTAAATTTGCGTTCGAATGGTCATCATCTTTTTTCTTTAAAAATGCACCAATCAACTGTTTGAGTCAGGCCTTATGTCAAGTCGGCAGAGTACAGTGTCCGTAGGTCTTCGAAGGTCGCTTTTCTCCGATATTGATATTTTGATATCGACTCATAGCTCGGGAACTGATGGAGGTACGACATCGAGGAAAGAAGCCTTCGATCCCTAGCTCTTACGAAGCTCTTACGAAGCCTATCCGTAGTTTGCCGTTCATCTATCATGTCATCGCGTTCACTGTTAGAGCTCCACCAAGCGATAGCCGGTCGTCAAGTCTGACCTTTCGTGGCTAGTCAACAACAGCGTCAGGCGCTTAGGCGGCGCCCACCCCATGTTTTTAACATGTCATTCAAGTTCAATCCATTTAAGTGGCACGTGAGGTCATGAGCTCTGTATACTTTGACGCCGGATGAGACTGATGGTCAGTGGTCGGTCAGGCGCTGACTGTAACGTGATAGCTTCAGGGACTGATGACTTACCTTCAAACGGCACGTTCATGATATTTACTGTCTATTGCGGTTCTTCTGATCTCAAGTGCTAACTGTTTAGATCATTGCCTAAGCAGTTTGTCTGTTTATCGTCTGTCTGTCCGTCAGTTGAACGCCCCCTTTCCTCCTCAGGCTGCCGTAGAGACCGTATTTTCAATGTTCATCTCGCTCCTCAGGCTGCTGTGTTTGTATGTCCGCTTGTCTGCCTGTCTGCCTGTGGCTGTACTAGTCGTATGTATCAGTCGTCCCACTCTCAGGCTGTTGTGTCTGCCTCTCTACCATTGTCTCCATCAGTCAGACGTCCCGTCCGTCTTCCCCCTCAGGCTGCTGCAGACGGCCGAGATGCTGAAGCCGTCGTCGACCTCTGCTCCGTCCGGAGACGACTCCTCCACCGACCACTACCCGCGGCTCGTCTTTGTCCATAACCGCAGCACGCTGGCCCACTTCCAGCCAGACAACATCAGACAACTGCAGGTAAAGTGCCGGATGACAGACAACTGCACTTACGTACCGGACAGAATCCGACAGTTACAGGTATTTGTATTTGTATTTGCCATCGTAGAGCGGTCCACTCAAAGTGTGGCTATTAAGCTCCGAGTCAAACATGGTCGCTGTCATGGATAAAAAAAACACACACACACACACACACACACGCACACATACACGGTACACAGGGCTACCCCTGTGCTGTGGCGGCGACGGCTGTCGGAACGGTCACGTTCGGTGGAGATCCAGCAGGCGTCTCTTCACGGTACGTGAAAAACGCTGCTGGCTAAGCGGTGTCAGGTCACTCGACAGCCGGTTGTAGAGGGCAGGTGCCCTCGAGCAAAAGCGTCTCTTGCCGGTCTCGGTGTTGGACCTCGGCACGTAGAGTTGTCCGTCCTGCCTCGTGCGCCGGGACCGCCGGTCACCGTTGCACACGAATGCAGCCGCCAGTGACTCGGGCTCGCCACCAGCAATCACCTTGTGCGCCAGACACAGTGTACGGTGGTCGGCCATGTGCTGAGCGGGCAGCCAGCCAAGTTTCCCGCGCAGGTCACTAACATGATCAAATTTTCTCTTTCCAAAAATGACTCGTGCAGCAAAGTTCAGTACCTTTTGAATTCTGTCAATGTTTTTCTTAGTGCCGTTGCCGTAGACGGAAAGGCAGTATGTGACCTGCGAGAGAACCAAGGCGGCTACTAGTGTCTTGATGACACCGACAGGCAGGACGTGACGGACATGTGACAGCGCGACAAGAGTACCGCTGCATCGCCTGCCGACGACACCCACGTGACTGTCCCATGATAATTTCTGGTCGAAAATAACGCCAAGATTTTTTACCTCGCGGCAAGGTACGAGGTCAGTGTTGCGGAAGGCAATTTTGAAGTCTGGAAGGCCGCGCAAATTTTGACCTGTTCCGAGAGTGATGAGCTGTGTTTTGTTTGCGTTTACTTTAAGGGCGTTTGCGCAGAACCACTGATCCAAAGCAGTCAATGAATTTTCCATGCTATGAATAACAGCCGAAAGTTCGTTCTTTTTGCCAGAGACAATCACCTGGGTGTCGTCAGCGTACTGCACGACACTTGCACCCGCAGCGAACAGTGACATGTCATTTGCAAACACGGTAAACAAGAGGGGGCCCAGGGCAGACCCCTGGAAAACCCCCATCGAGTTCGGCATCGGCGGGGAGACGCTGGCAGCTCCAGTGTGGTCTCTGAGTGACACACTCTGGGTATGGCCGGTCAGGTAAGCTTTAAACCACTGAACATCCACACCGTGCAGCTCGAGTTTCCGAAGTAAAATGTCATGGTCGATAATATCAAAACACTTGCTCAGGTCAATAAGACATAAGAGGGTGATCTCCCCGCCGTCGGCAGCTGTGAGGATTTGGTCGGTTACGGTAGCCAGCGCGGTTTCCGTCGAATGGCGCGGACGGAAACCGTGCTGGCTGGGGGATAGGAGGTGGTTGGAGGATAGGTAATGGTAAAGCTGCCGCTGGACAACGCGCTCTACTAGTTTGGCGATGGTGGGGATGATGGAAATAGGACGGAAGTTGGAAGGATCGGATGGGTCGCCGGTCTTGAAGATGGGGTGAATGAGCGAATGTTTCCAGGTTGGAGGGTAGTCGGATTGGGTGAGACATGCGTTAATGATATGTAGGATGACATAGCCGACGGCGGGGAAGCCAGCCTTCAGAGCACGAGCACACAAACCATCAGATCCGCACGCAGGCGAGTTCCTCATGCTGTACAGCGCGATCGTCAGCGTATCGAGGTCGATGGGAGAGACTGAGAAGCCGCAGGCCCCCACACGCGGCAGGCGGCAGGGCAGGTCTGCCGCGTGCTCGGCCGCATCGGCCACCTCCGCCGCCACCCTCGGCCCGACAGACACGAAATACTCATTCAGCGCGCTCGGTGATAGCTGTGGTGAGGTGACATCTCGCTTCCGGCCAGCAACAACACTCCGAATGTTGCGCCACACGGTGTGGGGTCCCTGCTCCTTGATACGGGACTCTATGGCCAGGCGCGTGTCGCGGCGGATGGCGGACCGGACAGATCGGTTCAGATCGCGGTATTCGCTCGAGTCACGGCCGAGGGTGCGCAGAGCGCCGCGGCGGCTCGCCATCAAGTCCTTAGTGGCGGCCGTGACCGGCGGGGCAGATGGGTTGTGAACCTTGCGGCTCCGTATCGGCGCGTGCTTGTCCAGAACAGGTATGTAGAGTGATAAAAAAGCTCGCCACTTCCCATCGACCGTCTCAGATGTAAAAACGTCACTCCAGTCACAGCACTGTAAATCGAACAGAAACGCACCCGAGTCTATCCTAGCGAGTGGGCGTGACCGCGACACCACAGTGTGCGATCGTGGACGGCGCGGCACACTGAGGCTACAACTAACGATGCGATGTGGGCTAAAATCACAATGTTTATTGCGGCGCGGCGTTGCTACGTTAAGACGATTGACAATGAGAACATCTAAGAGCGATCCAGAGGTAAATGTCGGGCCAGTCACTAGTTGAGAGAGCGAGTAATCATCTAAAAACACTTCTAAACGAGCTCTGGCTGGTGCCGGAGGGGGTTTGAGGAGGTCACAGTTCAGATCCCCGCCAATAATAATGGTCACATTCGGGTGATCGAGCAGCGCCCTCTGTAGCTGGGCCTCCAGGTCCCCGAAGTCGGCGTCGAGCGCCGCAGCCGTGCAGCGCGGCGGCCGGTAGATGGAGCCGATCAGAAGGCGCCGTCCGCGGTCCAGCGTCACCGTCGACCAGACGGCCTCCAGTCGGCTGTCTTGAGGACGCGGCGTCGCCGGCCGGTACGCAGCCGTCGACAGGCCGTCTCTCGTGGCGATGGCCACACCTCCGTAGCCGCGTCCGCCCGGCCTGTCAACGCGCTGCACGGAATAGCCGGGCAGCACTAGCAGTCGGTCGGGGACGGAGGGCTTCAGCCACGTCTCCGCCAGAATCAAAATGTCAAATTTACTGTGATGGAGCTCTTCTGTTAGTTCAGGCAGTTTCGGCAGCAGCGACTGCACATTCAGCGCGCCAACCAGCAGGCCGCCCGCCGTTACGGTCCCGGCGCGCCGGCCCCGGCGGCCGCGCGCTCCGCGGCGCTGCGGACGCCGCCCGCCACCGCGGGCCGGCGCGACCAGTCGCGGGTCACGGCCGAGCTCAGCCGCCGGTCGGGGCCCGGGCGGCCCGTCCGCGGCCGTCAGCGAGGTACGCCGGGGCTCGGGCGATCCGCCCACCGCCGGCCCCCGCGGCCGGGCGGCCGGGCGGCCGGTCGGCGGGCCGCCGGCGGCAGGCCGGGCACGAGCGGGGTCGGCCCGGGGCCGCACGGCGTCACGACCGCGGTCAGGCGTCGGTGAAGGTGTCGGTGAAGGTGTCACCACAGCATCACGTCGGCTCCGAGGACAGGCCGGTCTCCGGTGAGCGACGCCGCGTCGCAGTTGCTGGTCTTGGTCTCGGTGCTTGGCTGGTTCCGTCACCGGCACGGGGGCCGGGCAGGCCGCCGTTACCAGAACACGGACGACGGCGAGTAGTACTAACAGGCGGGTGAGGTCCCGATGCATGACCACGTCACCTCAGTGTCACTAGAGAGCTCAAGGCACGGCCACAACTCACTCCAATCGCTCTCACACTCGCTCTCACGCAGGACAGGCACAGAGCGGCTAGAAGGGTCGGGAGCGAGCAGCGCTCGCGACCGCACGCAGCGGCGCGCTCAGCTGAACTGGTAACAGCTGAACTGGTAAAGGTAACGTACCGGACGGTGTCAGACAACTGCAGGTGAAGTACCGCACAACGTCAAACAACTGCAGATACCGACCGGACAGACAACTGCAGGTAACGTACCGGACGGTGTCAGAAAACTGCAGGTGAAGTAGCGGGCAACGTCAAACAACTGCAGGTAACGTACAGGATAACAGACAACTGCAGGTAACGTACCGGATGGTGTCAGACAACTGCAGATGAAGTACCGGACAACGTCAAACAACTGCAGGTAACGTACCGGATTGTGTCAGACAAGTGCAGGTAAAGTACCGGACAACATAAGACAATGTCAGGTAGCGCAGCGGACAGCCTCAGACAAGTGCATGTGCCTTCGCACCGTCAAACACCACTTTTCTGGATCCTTCATGGGATGCGTAATACGGTTATACTTATTGGGCTACTTGGCCGGCGACTGCGGTGCATCTTCCATCTGCGGACCGCCGGTCTGCCGCGCCTTTAATACCATATGTCACAGGACTGACTAGCTGGATCACAGGACTAGCCGGGCAGCTGGGTGATGCAACAGAAAAACACGGACCGGCGGGCTTACTACGCCGTGTGCCTGGAAGAATATTTACCCATGTGACACGTAGCGACGGTATGGCCTCTCGGGCTCGATTCTGATTGATGTCGTCCGCGTCATTCTGGTAAGTGATGGGAGTGTCTGCTGCTGACATTGGAAAGGAATGCAAATATGGTTTGAACTATGCCGAAACATAGTTCCTTGTTGTCTTTCAGAGTGAAACCTCGTCGACATACTGGACCCCTGGCCGATGCGTGTTTGCTATACGCTGTACTACCAGAGTGTCAAGCGTTTGGTTATGCGTGTGTATTCCGGGAAGCTTGCCTATTTGCGCCACTGTATTCTGGGTGACCAGAGTGATAAGTCTGCGGTCGCATATGTGTTTTAGGAATTTTACCGGTCTCAATTCAGCCACTCTCTGTGTTTGTTCCAGGAGTTTTACCGGTCTGTATTCAGCCACTCTCTGTGTGTTTGTCAGGAGTTTTACCGGTCCGCTTTCAGCCACTCTCTGTGTTTGTCAGGAGTTTTACCGGTCGGCGTTCAGCCAATCGAATCTGTGTTTGTCAAGAGTTTTACCGGTCTGTATTCAGCCACTCTCTGTGTGTTTGTCAGGAGTTTTATCGGTCTGCTTTCAGCCACTCTCTGTGTTTGTTCCAGGAGTTTTACCGGTCTGTATTCAGCCACTCTCTCTGTGTTTTTCAGGAGTTTTACCGGTCGGCGTTCAGTCAGTCGAGTCTGTGTGTGACCAGCGACATTGGAGTGGGCAGTGGCGGCGTGCTACCCCAGGCGGGCCCGGAGACCACCGGTTCGCCCGTGAACCTGCTGCTGCTGCCAGAGTTCCTGCCTGGAGAGGAGGGCGTCGTAGCAGGTACGGGCGCCGGGCGCGGCACTGGACAGCGTCGCGGGTAGGTCAGATATCTCACAGTATGCAGATCTCAGAGGGGAGAGGTTACACAGCGTGCAGGTCAAAGGTTACAGGTCAGGGGTCACATGACCCTCAGGTCAGATGTGGTACAATAAACAGGTCGGAGGTTCACAGCACACAGGTAAGAGGTCACAGACAACGCATGTCAGACTTCGCCCTGGGCGCGGGTCAAAGTCCACTCTCAATGTATCAGGGGATAGAAAAATGGGATGCTTCAACTGCGTGATGCAGTCTCTTTTTTGCCTTCCGTTCAAAACTGCCGAAAGCAAACATTGTGCAATATGCTTTACTGTGTAGTCATTGCACAGGCTCTTCATGCTACCTGTCCAGGAGGCGAATTTCGTGGTTTCGCCAACGCTTTGGTGAATCATACCGTTGCAACGGTATGATTATGACATGACCTCGCGTGTCTCTTCGTAAACAGACCCATCATTAGGGACTCCGTGTTTGATTGCGTGTTTGCCATCACGCGACTCGCGTTTGTTCTGCGAGCGCGTGGAAGGACGCGGGTACCCGAGCGTGTGATCGTTGGGCGGTGTTTACAAACAGCTCTCATCCCCGGAGCCTGGCCTGAGGAGGAAGTGCACCGGGTAGCCATGAGCAGATGCTGGTTTCACGCACCAGTTCCTGAGTGTGGGAGCGAAGTGCGTCCGTGCCGCGGCCCGCTGTGGCACATCTCCCGCGCCGCACGGGTTGTGTTGTGGACGATATCCAGAGCTACATTGTATACGCTTAGATGAGCTCGGTCAAACTGAGTTCTGTTTTTTTTTTTGCCAGGTCATTTTAAGTTTGACTTGTGTTTTGCGCTGTTGCAAACAGGCGCAAAGTGAAGGATTGCTGTCGGGTTCAGTTTCAACCAAATTTGGAATTTTGGGTTGGAAAATTTGGGTTTTTGAAAATTTGGGTTGGAACGAGCTTGGGTCAGAGGATTTGGGCTTTGTCTGGGGAGAAGAATCAGATGGGTGTAGGTAGAATGACCGTGGCAAAGGCTTGCACCATGCTTCTTGGATGGTTTATTCCAGCCATATCTGTAACGACTTACCAATGCAAAATTTAAACTACAAACCAGATGTTCTTTTTTATGAATTTAATCACATTTCTTTTCCCTCGTTATCTTTCCATTGTGGCACTCTAATGACCTCACCTACTTACTATACTACCTACGATATTTGTGTGCACAATGAACAAAGCCTTCCGGATCGCGTCTGTTTGCATAAGCCCGTGACGGGCAAGTGGCGCCCATCATGGTTAAGTGACAATAATAAACTGCTATCAGGAAGTAACGTAGAGTGCCGACATGCAAGGGTCTTTGACAACGTCTCAGGCATTAGTGTGGTCGCCCTACCATGCCGAATACACACGATCTTCAGACTAGCTCATGTGTACATACGCTGCTCGTACCAATATTGATGGCGATCGACGTGGCTCTAGCCCTCGCATGTGTGCGGCGTTTGCCGGCGTCTAATGTGTAGGGGGGGGGGGGGGTCGGTTATACCCCTCTACCGTTCGGCCCCTGATTGAGCTAGAGCCTCGTGGAAAAAACGAGCGTGTTTTCCGTGACGAGAGGAAGCCGATGATACCCAATTTTAAGGTCCTAGGTCATTGGTTGACCTTCCA